AAGTGCAGTTGGGGCAAAGATAGTAAAACTTTGTCTCACATACTTTGGACTTGTTTTCAAGAAGGGTCAGTCCTTGGAAAAAGACATTATACTGGGAAAGGTGGAAGGTTAGCTAAAGAGAAGAGGACCTTTAACAAGATGGATTGATGCAGTAAGCAGCAGTGGACTTGAACATATCTAAAAAGTGAGGATGAGGTAGGATAGATCAAGGTTCAGGTCTCTTCTTCATAGGGTTGTTCTTAGTTGTAGTCAACTCAATGGTCCCTAATAATAACAACATATATATATTTATGTGTATGTATTTGTCTATTGATTTGTCTATTTGTGTGGGTGTGAATATGTATGTGTGTATGACGTTAACACAAGTGTGGTCAAAACTATATATTTGGATGAATGAAGTTTGGGATGCATTTGACAAGATTTTATAGCAAATTAAAATATAGGAAATATCTAATGCAATGATTTTATAAATTGAACATTTTTTTCCAACAACTGCTAAAATCTTATCTTCCAGGTTCATTTCCCTAGAGAGGTTTTAGAGATCATGAGCTCTAATCCACTCATTTTACAAATGAGAGAATTGAGACCCAGAGAGTAGAAAAGGATTGTCCAGTGCCACCCTGGGAGCTGGTAGCACTTCCCGTTCCAACAGGACTCTGAAATTGAAGGCAATGGCTGTGTGAGGGGATTAAACAGCATTGTGATTTAGGTGAAAGATTACAGAAAAAAAATTAGCTTTCCATTCAGAAATTCATACATGTTTTGTTTGTGACATTTATTTCAGTCCCTACAAGGTAAACAACACTCTTTGCACTTTGTGTGTTTCCCATTTACATTTGCCTTTCTTGATTTCTGGGATTTTTCCCTGAACAAATGCTGCACGTTTTAATCTTTTTGTATGGTTATTCCAAGGAATCATATCTCCTTCGGTTATTATTTATCTTATTTGCCTGGCATTTGTTTGGTCAAATGTGGAGCCCAGAGGTAAGTTCAGTTCCAGACTTGACGGGTAACATAAGCTGGATTTTTCATCCTTTTTAATTTGAATTTTGTTTCATATCTTTCTCCAACTCTCTCTCAGGCCGTCTATTGTAGTTTCCTTCCAAGCAGTCAGCAGCGGTAACTGGATACCATCTAGTTCTTCTGGGCTCAGAGTCATGAAAGCTAGGACTTGTATACTTTTAAATGGATTGCTTATCACAATCCACCTTTCAGACCCTCAGTAATCTCATTTCTTCCATCATTTTACATGAAAACCACAGTCGCAATGTGATCATCTGGATTCTGAAGGCTTGGCCGGGCCCCATTTACTAAAGAATCTTCTCAGTAAAGATGTGTCTCAAACATCTAGTGCTTGTATAACAGGAATATGCCCAGAGGATGGCTGTAACAAGCCACTCTCTCACAATGTAGAGAAAGAAGTCCAAAGTCAAGGCTGTAGCTCTAATTAACGGAAGGAATTCTTCCTCTATTGGCTCACAGCTTTAGAGAAAGTTCCTTGTCTCTTTTCAGCATTCATGGGTCTAGAATTCCTTGGAGATCTTCATTCACTGGCATCAATCATCTGTTAGGCCCAGGAATTTCTCAGTGCAGAGACCCACTCCACTTGGTCTGAAGGACTCACTCTGCTCCCAAACCTTCTTTCTCAGGGATAGCATGTCTCTCTTATCTCAACTTGCTTGCTCAGTTTCTCCTGTCTCGAAAGAGATTGACTGAAAACACAACCTAGTCTTGTAGATTATTACATTTTGTCTAATTATTATAACCATTCAGTAGCATCATAAAACCAAAAATCAAATCCACTGTCATCAAGTTGAATGTGACTCACAGCAATAGAGCAGAACTATTTCAGAAATCTTTCTCCTGAGGAGAAGCTGATAGGTTTGAACTGCTCAGTTAACAGCCAAAATTAAGCTATTTTGCTTCCTGGCTTCCACAGAAGTAAGGACTTACAAGACAGAGCAATTATATAAGATCACAAAATGGAACACAATTATGTAATTTGGAGAATGACGGCATAGCCAAGTTGGTACATATTTTGGAGGCCACAATTCAATCCACAACAACATGTTACAGACAGGTCATCCAAGGAAGGATCTTGCTGGCATCATGAATAAAGCAAAACCTGTAGTGCAACATAGACATTGTGCAGGAAGAGCTGTTGGGGAATGTTGAAGAGGAAGGGAAGGCCTCTGGCCAGGACAGATCACCTAAGCTCCAGATAAGTGCAAGCCTCCCAATGGCCATTAATACAGGTTAGAGAAAGCTCCCCTATGTTTGGCCATACCAGCTTGAGAAAGCTTGTCACCTGGGAACATGGCTGCTGTATCGGCTGATCTGGGCATAGTCTGCACAAGGCTGAGATTCTCCTATCCAATCCTCATGTCCCACATCTGCAAGCCCACCCTATCCTGTCTTCCTCTTTACTTGTATATAAGTGCACTGCAACCCCAAATAAAATTGAGCTGGATGGACTCTCTGAACCACTCCTGGAGTGGTATGTCTCCATTGTGCTTATCCCTGTCAGGATATCGCTGTTCATTGCTGGTGAAGGGACAGCAAGAAAGAGTCAGAGAACACTTTGTGCTAATGTGCAAATGAGCCTTCACTCTGGCACTCCAGCCAGACCCTCAAAGCTCATAGCTTCTCTCAGCTTCCTGGTTCCAGCAGATGGTCATTCCAGCCTCCCTCCTCTGCTTCCCTAATCATGCCATTCTCTGCAGCATCACACACAGTGTATCTGCTACAGTGTGCACTATTTTCCATAGAATTTATCTAGCGAACTACTTAAAAATCCAATTCAGCTGTCTCCTCCTCCAAAGAGCCGAGGTTTCTCCTCCCAACTGCAGCTGGACTAACTCCCGCCATGGATTTCTAATGCTGTGACACAAACACCACATGTGGAGGAGGTTAGAGAACCCAACTTTATTTTCTTACATCAAGCTCCCAGAGGTTACTGGAAGCTTAAAAGTCAAAATCAGGACCTCAGCTTTGTCAGTTATTCATTTGTTGGTAGCTCCGGGTGCCCTTGGTTCTTGAGAGAGGAGGACATTCAGTGAGATGTATTGGCACAGTGGACTTGAGCATAGCAGACATTGCACATACAAATGGGATATAGATCTGAAACAACTGTGAGATATCATCTCACCTCAATAAGAATAGAAAAATTTAACAGAATAGCAAGCAACAAATGCTGGCGATGTTGTGGAGAAACTGGAACCCTTATTCACTGTTGTTGGGAGTGTAAAGTGGTGCAACCACTATAGAAGGCAGTATGGCACTTTCTCAAAAAGTTGCAAATAGAAATACCATTTGACCCAGCAATTCCACTACTGGGACTATACCCCAAAGAGTCCATAACTGCCACCCAAGCAAATATATGCACACCCATGTTTATTACAGCTTTGTTCACAATAGCAAAGAGCTGGAAACAACAAACAAACGGATAGAGAATCTCTGGTATGTTCACACAATGGAATAAATATTATGCTGCATTGAAAAACAAGGAACTCATGAAATATTATTCAAATTGGGTGACCCTGGAAGACATTATGCTGAGTGAAATATCTCTGTCACAAAAGCACAAATACTGCATAATGTCACTGTTGTAAAACAGGACTGACATCGGGTTTTGGGGGAGACTGAGAAAGATGGGACAAATAATGTATACTGCATTGAAACAGATGAGGGATAAAACTGCTTAAAAGGGATATATGATTAGGTATTTTTGTCATGACAGGAGTCCAGAGCGAAGGCTGTATAGTGGAGTGGACCTGGGGGGAGGGATTATAAAACAATGAAAGAATTTTTCTTTTGCTTTTCAAAGAGAGGAGTGTACTGGAGGGGGGAATGGGTGGGCAAGCATAAAAGTGAAACAATGAATGAATGGAAATTAAAGAAACAATAACAATAAATGTATAAATAATAAATAAATAAATAAGAACTACAAAAAGAAAAACAAAAGCCAAAAAAAAATGGGATATAGATCTGAAAAGACAGGGTTATTACCTATTACCTAATTACTACTGTGGGCATAGATCAGTGGTGATTAATTTTTTTTTAATATAAGACACGACATATAGGAATGATTATATGAAACATAATGTGAATGGGGGGAAATGTCTTTTAAGTGTTAAAAAAGATGTGATAGGCCAAAATTTCAATCCATCATACATAAGGTAATGACATTCTTCAACATTCTGTCTCTGACCCAGCTCAATTTAAACCTCATATGATGACAAAACTGACCAATCTTTAGTCTACACACCTACTTTGTTTGCATGTTCTTACTAAAAAATTTCTGTTTACCTCACTTACATTATTAATTTAGTTCTACTCAGCCATGAGTAATAGTGAACCTGATGACATTTAATAACATTTGTGTGTAACAAAGTACTAAAACTTAGTAGCTTAAAGCAACACACATTTATCATCTTTTCTGTGGCCAGTAATTTGGACACAGTTAAACTGAATGCTTTACTTAGGGTACCACAAGACTAAAATCATGATGTGCTAAATGGGCTTTGTTCCTAACTGGATGTTAAATTTTAGGGAAAAAAATTATTTCCACACTCACTTGGGTTGTTGACAGAATCCATCCCCTTGTGGTTGTAGAACTGAAGACCTAGCCCCTTAGTGGTTGTCAGCTGAAGACTACCGTAAACTCCCAGAGTCTACCAGCAGTTCTCTGCCACATGGAGTTCATGCTGTGGCTTCTTTCTTTATCAACCCATTGAGAAGATTCTATGCAGCAAGTCAGCTAGCCACACAAAGTCTTACTAGATGCAATGTAATTGTAGAGCTCACATGCTGCATCTTTGCTGACTACATTCTGTTAGTTAGAAGCAAGTGTCTTGTTTCACCCAAATCCGGAAATAAGGGAATGTAAAGGCATCATGGGGCTATCCTAGAGGCTATCTTAGGTGGGAAGAATGAAGCAAACCTTGTTGGTATGCTCTATGTTTGCATAGTTTATTCTTCCTTTGTGTATTCTCTTGTAGGTGGCTTTGCAGCTGCTTGCAGATCAGTTCTGGAAGAAGGCACAGCTCCAGTGGCCTGAGGTCCTGGGAAAGGAGAATCCATTCAACTCCCAGATTGAGCAGGTGTTTGGAGATCAAGGCGGGCACTGAGCCACTCATGAATGCCCATCTTTGGGGAAATGGAAACTCGTGTAAATTCATCAACTCATTCAACAAATGTTTGAAGTGATTACTCTGTCACCAGTTCATAGAGCCCTCTTTCACAGTATTTTTGCAAAATTCTTTGTTCTAAGTTAAGAGCATATCTGAATGACCATGTAATTTTGGGTGAGTCTGGGATCAGTTTCCCAATTTCTCATCTACCATGCCTCAAATAACCTTTAATAAAATATATTGAACACCATTCCAAAATAGAGACTATCATTGCCCTTTAAAAGCTACTTTTTTTCTAAGAGTGTTTTAAAAATCAAAATGTTCAGCAACTTACTCAGGGTTCTGTTGTACAGAGAAACTGACCCTTACCCTCAGTGTTGACTTCTAGAGGATGATCCACTATCTGAGGTGTCTCTCAACAGGTTTAACAGGCTGCCAAGAGCTCTCACAAATAGTCATAAAAGTACAGTCCAGGTTTGGGGGGTACTTTGGAGAAAGAATACAAAATTATAAATTAAAACTCAGTTACAAACTTAAATATTTACTTAGAATGAGGAGACAAAGCACAAGAAAGTACAAAATCATTAGAAGTTGACAAAATGTTTAAAAATATTTTTTCTTACTTTTTTAATGCATAATCTGATCACTTCTCCTGACTGATTTTGCATTATCATTCTCAATCGAAAAACAAATGTGTTACCCAATACTAATAAAAATATCCTTTGCATATTCAATAAAACACAGACATTCTTCTGGTATTCTCTGCTTTCAGTCAAGATCCATCTGACATTAGCAATGATATTCCTGGTGTCATGGCTTCTTCTAAATCCAGCCTGAATATCTGGCAGTTCTCTGTCAATATGTTTCAGACTGTGCAAATGCATTTGAGTGTGCGGATCATAACAAATCATAGCTGACATTGACAAGAATGAGAATCCCAGAACACTTAATTGTGCTCACATGAAACTTATACCTAGACCCAAAGCTATTGTCCAAACAGAGCAAGGGAACACTGCATGGTTCTTACATTCCATGTTTCAGTCACCAGTGTCTGCTTACAACTGTCCCTCCTTCCATTTGTTTCCATACCTGAGAGCTCAGCCTCAGTTGCCCTATCTGCTAGTATAAGTGTACTCTGTTGTACATAGGGTTTTCTTCACAAGTGGATGGTCAATCCTTCTTCCTAGTCTGTCTTAATTTGATTGCTCAGATTTAGAACATTATCTTACAGACAAGCATTTTACAGAGAAGAGCAGATTAAAGATATTTCTTAGTAGTAGAAAAAAACCAATAGATTCTGTGTTGTCCCCACCCTTGTCAGGTATGGTTGGTTTGTTTTTTTAGGTGACATGATTTTTTTTTTATTTTAATAAAAGTTTACAGAGACTTTCACTTTCCATTCATTCATTGTTGCACACTTTCCTCCCTACCCACCCCTCCCCCCAGTTCACTTTGCTCTTTGAAAAGTATAAAAAAAAAATCATTTCATTGTTATACACACACACACACACACACACACACACACACACACCCGCCCCAGTCCACTCCACTATGCAGCTTTTATTCTGTCAATATTTTATTCTTTTGTCAAGGCAATAATGCCTAATCATATATTCCTCCTAAACAGTTCTTTCCCTCATCTGTTTCAATACAGTATACATTATTTATCCCCTCCTAATTTTCCTACAACTCTGATGTCAGTCCTGTTTCACAACAGTGGCACTATGCTTACTTGTCCTTTTGTATCTGAGATAGTTCACTCAGCATAATGTCCTCCATGGTCACCTATTTTTATATAATATTTCATGAGTTCCTTGTTTTCAATGCAACATAGTATTCCATTGTGTGAATATACCACAACTTCTCTATCCATTTATTTGTTGATGGACACTTGGGTTGTTTCCAACTCTTTGCTATTATGAACAAAGCCGCAATAAATATGGGTATGCATGTATCTATCTGCTTGGGTGACTGTTCTGATTTATATTAGGGTATATCCCTAGTAGTGGAATTGCTGGATCAAATGGTATTTCTATTCTTTTGAGCCACACCTTTCCCTGCTCCACCAGCATTTACATCTACTCCAACCTACTCCATTCAACAACAATCTCACCTATCCAGCTCTTGATGTGATGGCCTATATGTCAATCCTTCTGGGCTTCTGTGATTCCTAACACCTCAAGTGCTACCAGTTTCTTCCTCTATGGGCAGTATCTCTTGAGTTCAGGAGTTTCTAAATCTCCCAGTAATTCACAACAGAATATAAAACACTTATGAAGTTGAATGGGGGAAATCTGAGCCCTCACTGCTCTAAGTGTAACATTTTCTTCAATTATTAATGTGGCCCACAAAGCACAGTTATTTAGATGTCTTCATCACAAATATTCTCATGACATCACAGATGTTGCAAGTATCATAAAATATTATGGTCTAAATACTGTGAAAGAAGCTCTGGTAGCCTAGTAGTAAGGAGCTACATTGACAACTGAAGGTACACAGTTCAAATCCACCAGCTGCTCTGAGGAAGAAAGATGGGCAATCTCCTTCTGTATGATTAATTGCCTCTGAAAATACATTGAAGGATTGGCTATGAGTCTATTCCAACTCGATGGTACATATCAACTACTTGGAAGTCTCTCCAATGTAATCATTTTTAAATTATTTCTTATGCTTCACATATTTTGGACATGTTGCTAGGAGGTGCTATTCCTTGGAGAGGAACATGATGTTGGGAAGGGTCAAGGGTCAACAAAGGAGAGGAAGACCCTCAACCAGGTGGATTGACACGGTGACTGCTGCAGTGCACTTTTGTATGTCAGGAAGTGTGAGGATGGCGCAGGACAGAGCAGGGCTCAGATCTTTTGTTCATAAGGTCACTATGAGTTGTGCTAGACTCAACATCACCTAACAACAACAACATGTATGTGAACACTAGACAAGGAATAAGCAACACAGAAGAAGAATCCATGTTTTAAATTGTGGTGTTGGAGAAGATTGCTGAATAGGGACTGCAAAAAAACCAAAATGTCTGTCTTCGAGAAAGTTCAACCAGGATGCTCCTTAGAGGTAAAGATAGTGAAACTTTGTCTCACATACTTTGGCCAAGTTGTCAGGAGGTGCCAGACCTTGTTTAAAGATACCATGCTGGGAAAGGTGGAGGGTCAGCAAAGATAGGAAGACCCTCAACAAAGTGAACTGCTATCGTGACTGTAATAGTGGGCTCAAGTATATCAGAGAAGGGAAAGAGGGCAGAGGATAGGGCAAGGTTCAGTTCTGTGGTTCATAAGGTCATTCTGAGTTGTAGTTGGCAATAAAAACTGTGGAGTCACTGTAGGCATAAGACCCGCCACTGGACCTTGTCACTTAACAAATATGCAAAACAATGCATATGTTAATGTATGTCTGGTTTTAATCTGTTTTAAAGCATTCTATAATCCTTACATAGTTGATTGGAATAGAATTCGTTTCCTTTGTAAGCCTATGTATGTTCAGTTTTCACATTTCAAAATAGCATTCAAGGGAAAGGTTCCAGATTTTCTTAGACTGTCACAAGGAGGTCTATGATACAAGATGGGCATAGCTCTGAGGTGCACAGGAAGGAAAGGAAGACTCCCAGTGCCAACTAAGCCTGGAATCAATTGCCATCAAACTGTGATCTGTGGTGATGGGCTCCATGGTATGAGAGCAGAGCTAGACTCTGAAGGGTTTTCAGTGACAGATTTTTGTAAAGTAGATGGCCAGGCCTTTCTCCTGACGGCCTCTAGGTGAACTCAAACTACCAAGTTTTCAGTTAGAAGCCAAGCCTGTTAACTTTTCGTACTGGCCAAAGAATCTAGTAATTTTGAAAGTGCAATATAATTCATTTATCTGATTCCTGAGAAGTCCCAGAGTAGAAATTGTCCAGTAAAGAACCCCATTAAACTTTAATTTACCCCAAAACCTACCGCTTTTTGACCCAGAACCTTTCCTCACTTAATATCAATTAACATTCAGTGGACATCATGTTCTTTGGAACCACCCTGCCTATGTATTAAGAATTCATTAGCCTCTCTAAGGTGCTCACTAGCGATGGCAAAGAAAGACTTTCCCAGCTGCATTAAGACTAGAATTTGCAATTTTTTTGTGTCATGAGTTTAGATTGTCTTTGGACTTCCCTTCATTAAGTGAGGAGCTTTCCTGATAGACTTATGTGTAATAGATGCAGCATCTTGCCTGGTTCAAATGCACGGGGCATATCTATTCACTGTGCAGTATGGATGACTCCCCTGATAAATAGATGCATCAATATACTATTAATGTGTCAGTTTCTCATTAAATCTGAGTACAGATTTTCTGTTTGCCCTGTGGGATGAACTTCCCTAATCCGATTTGGCAGTGGTTCTAGCATAAATATTCATACAAGCCAGGGTTCCTTTAATCTGGTCCTTTGCTTGGAGTAATGGAGTTGGAGAGAGGTTGCTCTTAGAGGCTGTTTTCTGGGTCACTTCTTAAAACCACCATATCAGAAAGCAATGGCCTCATCATCATGAATCTATTGTTAAAGAGGATTACATTCAGCATGAAAATACAGAATAGAAATAAGCATGGGAAGAAGGTTTCCTAGGAAGCTCTGAGGGTATTGTGCTCTTGGCTGACTGCTTTGTTTATAATTAATTACACAGAGGCCCATCTGCTCCAGGCAGTAAATCACAGCAGGGGACTGGGGACAGCACTAAGGGCCCCAGGGACCTGTCTAGGCTGAAAGTTCCAGAGATTTTTTTTCCATCTCACCAGAGAACTTGGCCCTCTGAAATGCACACTTCACATAGGTTCACAGAAGCCCCAGGTGTTCATATTTTCATAGTGATTTCCACATTGAAGCTCTCCAAAAATCAGCAGTAGCCTGGACATTGGGTGAGGCTCCAGGAGAGCAGAGAGATTATGAGAGATAAGAAGTAGAAACTCTAACCCCATGTAACTCCCACTGAAAGAACAAAGCCCTGTCCTGCTGCTTCATG